AATGTTGTCGAATTTCTCCTTCATTTGCAGCTGAAAAAGTGGATTCATGTTATTGTTAAGAAAAATAACTTTACGGAATCCACTAGTAATGGCATTACTGGTTACATGACACGGAAAATATGGATGACAGTTCGTGTAAAGCAAGTTTTCAGTCAGTTTTCAATTTCAATCTATAATTACTTCCTCCAAGAATATTGTGCAATTGTTGTTTCGTTTCATCATTTGCTGCGAGATAAACCATAAAAAGTGTTGTTGATATTGAAAAAGGAGATAGAATGGCAGATTTACCGTCTTGAGCTATTTCTTTCAGCAAACTGACCGTAAACTTGAACTGCGCAGTAGCCACCGGAGAAATGTAAAAATCTATTTAGGAAGATATTTCAAAGCATTAAGATCAAAAATGTGATAAGGGAAAAAGTTTTTGTTGATGGTAAAAAGCTAATAAAAAAAGAATGAGCTTTGGCTATTTGACTATTCCGAAATATTTTGAAAAATTGTAATTTTCTGTAATAGAAATGTAATTTGTGATAGAAATTTTGTAATAAAATTATAATGGGAATTGTAATTTTCTTATGTATATTTCGCCAAATATCACTACAAATATGAGGATTTGCAAAGTGAAGTAATGCTGCAGTGATTCCTTGACCCACCATTCTGAAATATCATTAGGTACTCAAAGTACTGAAATAATCATTCGAAAGCTAACAAATATCCGTTACTTAGCAGATATTATCGTATCAGAATTTTTGTGCTTTTTTGTGAATTTGTGCGCCATCAAATAATTCATAACATAAATTAGCGTTTTTAAGGTCAAAGATCATAACGTCATAACTGAAAGCGGAAATTTCTGCTAGAACATTCTGTCGTTTGTTACTGGCTAACAATGGTAACTTCTATAGTATTTCCTGACTTTATTTGTCTAACTATTTGAAAATGGGTTGTATCAGCATGAGGTTGTATAATTGGGGATTAATAGCATGCTTCTATGCTGAGATATATTTATATCATTAAATGACATTGGGATATCGGTGTTTGAAACTTTTATTTTCAACGTTTTCAATTAACGAATCATTCACTCTTGTTTTTCACTTTCTTTTCTTTTCTTCAGAAAGGTACAAAAACATGTTCTGGATTTGAAGTGTACCGCTTACATTTATTTATGTTTCTACCGTAATCATTCAGTCTGTACAAACATTAAAACCTTTTTTTTCATATTCCAATACTACAAGTGATAAAGCTGTTTCTACTCACAACTGATTAAGGATTACCCTGACCAAAACAATTACATTTTCCGGATTGTCAACAAATTAGTTTTATCATTCTTTTATCCATTTATTATTTTCATTACTGTGATTCCATCTGGCTATTTGATGTTTTAATTTACCATAACAAATTTGTTTCGAAATTATTTAATGATAACAAGAATTATTTCAGTAGTTTTTAAACAGCGACAGGTAATTTTTCAACTAAATTTAATAATCGTTTATCATTACTTTCATTGCAATGTCGACATTTTATAAAAAGAAGCAAAAAAAAAATTTCCTTTCTTTTTTCTTCAAGTATATGACATGAAATATGCATGAATGTTGAAAATTACACTTAAACTTGGTTCAGAGTTCTGTCATGAAATTCATTTATGAATAGACATGGAAGTATTTTAAAAAAATTAACTTTTGCAACTATATCACCAGCATACTCTCATTAAAATTTTTCAGTGACTTTATAGAGTTATTGCTTCTTTGGCGATATTATTTTTCTTTGAAATCTTCAGTGCAGATCGGATCAAAAATCAAGGAGCATTCTCATGCCATCATTGGATATTTGAATCTGATTTCGTTGACATTTTGCGATTATTTTGATGGGAACAGTCGTTGACGGCTAAAGATCAGGCAAGTTTTTGTTGGGAATTATTCTTCGGGTGAGTTATAAGTCAAAAAACACTTTTCCATTTGCCGTATCGGAACGTATGAAAATGGATGTTCTTACAGTTTGAACAGATTAAATGATATAGTAAAAATATATGAATATGAATGTGCATACATACTTTTCATTAAAAAATGTTTTTAGAGCTTTTAAGAGTAAAAGATCACAAACAAACTTATGTGGCTCTTTAATCAAAAATAGCGAAAGGCTTAACGACATGCAGATATTGATGTTTGACGTAAATCAATGGTATAAATAACCTTCAACAATAATGATAATTTGTTGACAACCGACCCTGTTCGCTTCCATCCTTATGACCAATTGCGATATCTTAGATTTTATTAATCAACTAATTAATTAACTAATAATGCAACGCGTCATTAAATTTAATTGAAATTGTCTGTCATAATTAAAAAATTATTTATAGTTGCCACTAAGTAATTTCGAAGAGAACCACAAAAAGAGCAAATAGAGATGGAATTTTGAAGATATGGTGCAAAAACATGTTGATTTTCCAGAAAATACATTTATCTTGATAGAAATAATAATGGCTTCTTCTATTAGCAATGATCTCTGATCGCTTTGAATCAGATAAGCTTTATAGTTTGCCGAATCAAAACTAAAAAACAATCGTTTTTAATGTTTACATAGATTAATTGTAAACATATAAATAAGTGTATACGCCCATCTATGATTTATTAAATATGTTTGTATCTTAATAGGGAAATATCAAACACAAAAGTGAGTAACTCAGTGATATAAATACCATTCAGCATGGTGACACTCCACTAATGCCCAATTTCGCAAGCTCACACAGTTACGGCCCATCTCGAACAAATGTGCAAATAGTGGAAGACCAACGTGAAGTGCTATTTCTTGTTATAATCTAATCGATTATGAGCTAATTCTAACCTCCTATGATTACATTCACGAGGATTCCAGTATTATTCGCGTTTTGTTATTTCAGCACTTTGAGTACCTTACTGATATTTCAGAATGTTGAGTCAAGGAATCACCGCAGCATTACTTTTCCTTGCAAGTTCTCAACTTGTAGTGATATTTGGCGAAATGTATGCAAGAAAATTACAATTTTTCAAAATATTTCGGAATAGTCAAATAGCCAAAGCTCATTCTTTTTTTATTAGCTTTTTACCATCAACAATAACTTTTTCCCTTATTACATTTTTGATCTTAATGCTTTGAAATATCTTCCTAAATAGATTTTTACATTTCGCCGGTGGCTACTGCGCAGTTCAAATTTACGGTCAGTTTGCTGAAAGAAATAGCTCAAGACGGTAAATCTGCCATTCTATCTCCTTTTTCAATATCAACAACACTTTTTATGGTTTATCTCGCAGCAAATGATGAAACGAAACGACAATTGCACAATATTCTTGGAGGAAGTAATTATAGATTGAAATTGAAAACTGACTGAAAACTTGCTTTACACGAACTGTCATCCATATTTTCCGTGTCATGTAACCAGTAATGCCATTACTAGTGGATTCCGTAAAGTTATTTTTCTTAACAATAACATGAATCCACTTTTCAGCTGCAAATGAAGGAGAAATTCGAACAACATTTTGCCAGAATGTTAGGCTAGTTATCGATAG